TTGTTTTTTTCTTTCTCATGGTTTTCTTCTTTTCTTCTGATTCTTCTTTCACAACATGACTAATGTAGAAATATGTTTAACATGATTGTACATGTATAACCTATATCAGATTGCTTGCTGTCTTGGGGAGGGCATAGGGAAGGGAGGGAGAAAGGGAGAAAAATTTGGATCTCAAAATTTTACAAAAATGAATGTTGAGAACTATCTTTACAAGTAATTGGAAAAAAATAAAATACTATTAAGGAAAAAAAAGGAGGGCTTTGAAAGTGAAACAGAGGATTTTATATTTGATCCTGGAGGTAATAGGGAGTCACTGGAGATTACTGAGTAGGGCAGTGACATGATTAGACCTGCATTTTATTTCCTTTCATATTGAACAAGGGGTAAAAGAAGGTTTACTGAAAATCAGGGTATAAGGGATAGAAGAAGATAGGGAACCCCTGATCTAAATCTTAGAATCCATAATGCCTTCTAGCTAAAACAATACTGCACGATTTTCTGAGCAAATTCTAAGGATCTAATTGTAGATTTAGAAATTATAATCAATTTAGTAATTGTAATCTCAATTGTGGACAGCTAGGTGGCACAGTGGATAAGCACTGGGCTTGGAATAAGGAAGACTCATCTCCATGAGCTCAAATCCAGCCTCAGACACATAACACTTACTAGCTGTGTGACTCTGAGCAAGTCACTTAACCCCATTGCCTAGCCCCCCCCCAAAAATTATCAAGACATTTGCCTATTCAAATATTCCTCCCCTTTCCAATTAGTTATCTGTGCAAGGCTGTTTTTCTTCACATACTTCAACCTTCAACCAAAACAACATATAGCAGCAGAAGTAGATTTTGTTATTTAATTATCTTTCTATTCTTTGTGACCCCTTTTGGGGTTTTCTCGGCAAAGATACTAGAGTGATTTGTTATTTCATTCTCCAGCTAGATGGTGCAGTGGCTAGAACACCTGGCCTGGAGTCAGGAAGACTCATCTTCCTGAGTTCAAATCTGGCCTCAGACACTTACTAGCTGTGTGACTCTGAGCAAATCTCTTAACACCAATTTCCTCAGTTTCCTCATCTATAGAATGAGCTGGAGAAGGAAAGTCAGTCATCGCATGATGTACCTGTTACTCTGTACAACGTTCTCCTGGTTCTGCTCATTTCACTCAGCATCAGTTCATATAAGTCTTTCCAGGTTTTTCTGAAGTCTGCCTGCTCATCATCTCTTATAGCATGATAGTATTCCATTACATTCATATACCACAACTTGCTCAGCCCCTCAATTTCCAACTTTTCGCCACCACAAAAAGAGCTGCTATAAATATTTTTGTACATGTGGGTGGTGTCCTCAATTTTTAAGAGTATAAAGGAATGGGGATCAGCTAGGTGGTGCAGTGGATGGAGCACCAGCCTTGGAGTCAGGAGGACCTAATTTGAGTTCAAATCCTGCCTCAGACACATATTAGCTGTGTGACCTTGGGCAAGTCACTTAACCCCAATTGCCTCAAAAAAAAAATGTAAAGGAATCCTTGGACCAAAAAGTTTGAGATCTGTTGGACTAAAGGAATCATGGAAAACTTCTTGAAGAAGGTGGCATTTGGGCTACAGCTTGAGTCAGGGGTGGGCTCTGGGGAGCAGTAAATAAGGTTCCTTTCAGTGTAGGATGAGTGACTCCTAGGTCATAAGCTGCTCACCTTGACATATACCAGTGGTCCATCCCCCTGAAAACTCAGATGCCTCAGCCAATACATAGCAGTGCCCACCCTCCATATCAGCTCCACCCACCTGCCCCACCCCTCTCCAGTTTTAGGTCAATCCTAAGGTCCCTCTTTCCTATGACCTCTAAGACAAAATACAAACTGCTCTGTTTGGTATTGAAAGTTCCACTATAGTGCACGGCAGAGAACAAAAGAAAACCTAGAAGGAAGCAAAGAAAAACTGGATAGTTTTGAAAACAATGTGTAGTATTATATAGGTTTTCTTGAAATGGAAATTATTGTTTTATATAGAATCCTCTCATGTTCTGCTGTGTACATGGAAATGTCCTTTTTTTCTTTTCTCATTTTGTGTTTAAGTTTAAAATGAATAAAAATTTGCCAAAAATAAAAAAGAAAGAAAAGGAAAGGAAAAATAAAGTTCCACCATCCCCCCTTCCCCATCCCTAATCTGACTAAAGCCTACCTTTCCAGGCTAATTTCACATTTCTCCCTTCATGCACAATTATGTTCCAGCCAATTATCTTACCCTTTCTTTTACACAACGTTTTATCTCTCACCTCCATACCTTTGCACAGGCTGTTCCCCCAAGAGACTCTCTCTTTTTACCTCTCCTTCATGGAATCCCACTCTTCAAGAACTTAGCAGAGGGCACACAAAAGGTGCTTAATAAATGCTATTGACTGACTTAGCTCACTGCCACTTCCTCCCACAGGTCTTTCCAGATTTCCCCACTTGTCAGTTTTTCCCCCTATGAAATTATTTTTGGGAGGGTGGGGGTGTGTGTACATATTGTTTCTAGCCAGTAGAACAAAACTTCCTTGAGGACAGTAGCTTTCCTTTTCAGCTTTGAATACTTTAAAAACTTCTGTTTTTAAATTTTAAAATTTAAAATTTTGTTACTTTTTTCATTTTTCCTTTTCAATGTTGGGGGGATGGGAAAGAGAAAATTGGTTTTTGTTCATTGAAAAAATGTTTTTAATTTTTAAAAATCCTCTTTGTGCTTCCACTGCTAGGCAGTTACATGGAGGTTTCAGTTTGTTGGGCATTTTGTAGTGGCAGGGGAGGTGATTTTGTTTTGAGGAATCTCTGACTAGTACAGTGCAGATCACTCAGCTTTCTGCCATTAATCTGGGTGAGTGACCCAGAGCATTGACTTGCTCAAGGTCACACGGCCAGGGGGCATCAGAGGCCCGATTTACACGGAGGACGGTTCTACCTACCTCCTCCACCTAGCCGTAATCAAACGGAGTTGAATTAAAAGACAAAATAAAAAAATAGCCTCCGCCTTCAAAGAGCAGTATTTAGTGAAAGAATCTTTAGAGAAAAGACCAAGCCAAAGGCGGGGCTTTCCATCTTCCCGGCGGGAAGGAGATGAAGGTGGTGGGAAATGAGACGCTTCAGTGGGACCAAGTGGGGGAAGGACAAAAGGAGTCGGGCTTCTCAAGAACAGGTCTGGTGGCCAGAGATATGAAGGGAGAGGGTGGGGAGTGTGTTAGGGAGAAGGCGCCCTGGGTCGAGAAATGGCTTCACGTGTGGAAATCTAGGGCTCTCCAAGGTGCTAGGGCCGTTCTGGGGAAGGAGAAGGGCCTGAGACCTTTGTCCTCACTTGAGGAGATAGCTTTCACACCTGGAAAGAGGAAGGGTAGACAGGAAGGAGCAGGGGGAGGGAGAATACTGAGATTGTTGGTGCTCCACAGACAGCCAACTCGCTATTATCAGCGGATATGGGGGTCCTGGGAAACATGAATTCCACGTACAGCTGATCCAAAAATGTTCTTTCACGTACGTAACGTCTCCAACTCTCCTCTGAGCAAGCCAGTCCCCTAGTTCCCTCTCCCAGGTTGGGGCCAAGGTCTAGAGTACAGGATGGAGAGAGAAAAAGAGGAAGGAGGAGACAAGGGAAAAGGAAAAGGGAAGGGAAGAAGAGGAGAGAAGGGGGGGGGGGCGGGTTAGGAAGAAGCCGAAACACTGTACATTCACCTTCCAGTCCCACAAAGTTTCGAGGAAGGAGGTGGGGAGGAGGGGGCAGGCGGTCGCCTTCATCTCAGACCCTAGCCTCTATGGAGGGCTCCTGACAGTTCAGTCACCGCTTTGGGAAGACCACGGTGGCCCGGACTGGCCGATTTCCTCACGCCTCACCCTCTAGCTGCTATCAGACCTCCCCACTGGCACTACGGACCTTGGAGAAGTCTCTTCTCCTCCAGACCTCATAGTGATTAGAGCTGTTAGGGACTTTAGAGATCACGTAGGTTCCCTCCTCCACCCCTTTCATTTTACGAAGGAGGAAGGCGAGGCCCACAGAGATTGCCAGATAGCCCAAGGTCACCCAGAGATTGCAAATCGAGGTCCTCGGACTCCAGAGGCAGACCTCTCTCCAATACAGCTCGGCAGTCATTACCTAATCTACAAATTACCTTATCGGGAAGATGAGGGGGTTGGATCAGAAGGTAACTCAGGCCCTCCAAGTCCTGATATTTTATCTTCCCGTTCTAACATTCTCTGTTCTAAGGTCCTTTCCAGCTCTGATAGTCTAGGTCTCCGTGTTTACACACTACTGTCCCTTGCTATAAACTCACTCTTTTCACTATTCCTTATAAATTTCTCCGTCCAGTCGGCCGCCTAAGGCGGTCCCTTTAATTCCTTAGAGCTGCCCAACGCTGACCTATCTGAGAGTGGAATCCCTTGGCCGGCCCAAAGGAGAGTTCGGAATCAGGTGGGGAAGGGGTACAGCCTTCTCTGTACCAATCTCTGGCCGCCTGGGGCGAGCAGTGACGCACATGCAAAGCCAGTGGAATCCTCTCCGCCCAATGACAGCCCGAAGGGCGGGGGTGGGGTGGGGCGGGGGTGGAGAAGGGATTGATCGACAGCTCGGCGGACCAATGGACAGGCGGGGGGCAGCCTATATGAGTCTGTCCCAGCGCACCTTAATCGGCTTTCTGTCCTGTCCACCCCGTCTGTGGTGTGGGAACGTCGGGGCAGGAGCCCGCAGAGCCACCGCCCCCTTCCCAGCAACCGCCTGCTTCCCTCCCCCCCTGCTCTCTTCTCCACTCCCGGTTCTTGCCGTCTAGACTCCGGCGTCTGGCCAGAGATGCCGTCGGAGAGCGGGGCTGCGAGCCCGGACGCAGCAGCGGTGGCGGCGGCTGCAGCGGCGCCCCCGGCCCTAGTCACTCCCGCGGCAGCCTCTACCCATAAACGAGGGGGTCTCAGCCCGGAGCGTTCCTCCGGAGTCCCACGACGGCGCTTCAGCCGGTTGAGCTGGACGCAGGTGCAGAGACTGGACACCCTGCTGGGCGAGGAGGTCCCCATCCACGGACGTGGTAACTTCCCCACGCTGACCGTACAGCCGCGCCAAATCGTGCAGGTGAGTACGGGACTCAAGTGCCCAAGGCTTGGCCGTCCCTCTCTCCCCCTTGCTCTCTCCCGACCCTTCTCCCCGAGTTGGTTGCTGCAGAGGACTGGGGTGCTGGACACGCCCCCCTCGGCGCAGTTGGGGTAGAGAAACCCTGAATAAGAGTAGTAAGGAAACTTTAGTACGTGCAATGTCAAAACTGGGAGGGACCTTAGAACCTGGAATGCAGGGTTGGGAGGGACCTCAGAACCTCGGAATGTTTGAGCTGGGAGGGACCTTAGAACATGGAATGTTAGAGCTAAGAGCCGTGGAATGTTAGCCCTGGAAAGGACCTTAGAAATTATCTAGTTTGGCTTTGTTTTGCAAATGAGAAAAGATGCGGGTTCTGGCCCCTTTGAGCCTGGGAGGCTGGATTGGTGTGGCTTGGAGGTGGGTGGCTGGAGTCGGGCTGAACTATCCCTGCAAAGGGACACTCGGAGATGGTGCTAGAAGAGTCCCGCAGGTGGGGAGGGGCAGTGACGGGTCGAGCTGTAGGATGTTCCTGCCACAGAATTAAGCTCCCTTCCTCGCCACTCCCCACCCCGTACCCCTCACAGTAGGGTGAACACTCAACCAGACCAGAAATTCAGGGCTGGCTCCCTCCCATCCCCACCCTCAACTGGAGGTCCCTTCTCTGCCCTTTGCTCAGTCAGACTAACAGGCTGCGGGCTGCAATCCACCAACTGAGATATGTGCTGAGACTGTGAAACCCGTGGCTGGCCAAGAGCCAGGGGCTGCACACGCCCAGCAGACAGCATGCTAGTGGGGGAGGAGGAGGGAATGAGTGAGGCTGGCTGCCTCCCAGTGGTTGCCCTAAGGCCCTGCAGGGGCCTTAGCCTATTCCTTACTCTCCTTTCCTTCTCTTCCATCTCTGCCCTACCCCCTCCACCCCACCCCGTGCCTTGGCAGAAGGTTGCCTTCTGTTGGGTCTCAGGATTCTTCATTGGATCTAGGGTCTTCTCTTTCTGAGATGGGGAGGCTGCCCTCTGGCCCCTCTGCAGCTGGAGTTGCCCTGGAACAGTCCATAGCAGCACAGATTCCCCTCCCACCCCAGCACCCAAGTCTGGACTTCTGGAGCTAAGGGGAAAGTCCCCATCTTAAAGAAACAGGAAAATCCAGCCTGAATTCCTACTGTCATCTCAGAGCAGTGGCTGCCCAGGTGAGCCAGGCCGCTCCCTGGCTTCAGCTGCCATCTCAGCTGCCCAGGGTGTGCCCCTTAGCCCCCTCCCAAACCCATGAGGGCACTGACTACAGCTTTAGGGATTGGTGACAGAAGGGTGGCCCACAGCCAGGATGACGAATCCCTCAATGAGTCCCTATGCTCGGTCCCCCCCCACCCCATTCCCTGTCTGGGATTCAGTCCAGTCCTCCTGTCTCCAAATACCTGGAATTCTAGACATTCCATGTCAGGGGTTGGACCCAGGCTTCTGTCCAGTTCAGGAGTTGCCCTCCTGCAGAGAGGCAAGAAGTAAGACCCTTAGGAGGCAAGCAAGGAGACCTGAGTTTGAGTTCTGGCTCCAGCAACAACTCATAGTGTGACCTTGGGAGAGTCCCCTGCCCTCTCTGAGCCTCAGTGTTCATTTCTATAGAAAGGGATAGTTTCTTCATTTGTAAAAGGGGAGGGGGGCACAAACTAGAAGGCCTAAGAATGCTGTCAGTTTGAAATCTATGATTATACCTTCTCTATGCTAACAGTTGACACATTGATTTCTGGGTAATATATTTCAGGAGGAGTGCTTGTTGGGAAATACTACCAAAACAAACAAAATAAAATGAGGCAGTTGAACTACTAGATGGTCTCAGAATCCCAATGTTAGCAGACCTTTAGCAGGGACTTTACAGACACAGTCCAACCTCCTGACTACACAGATGGGAAAACCAGAGACTCAAGGGGAAGTGACTTGCCCAAGGTCACAGAGCTAGGAAATGTCATAACCAGGTCTTCTGATTCTAAATTCAAGATTTTCTTTCCCTTTCCCCCCGGTACTTTTTAGATGTTTTATTGCTGCTCCTTCCTCTTTTTCACATTCCTCCTTCTCCCCCCTACACCCCTCCCTGTAACAAACATGCAGAATCAAGGAAAACCAATCAACACATTGACATTGTCTGAAAATGCATGCCTAATTCTGTCCCTGTAGTCCACCCACCTCTCTCCTGAAAAGTAGAAGGTAGGCTTCACTGTCAGTCAGTCTTCTGAAGCTTTCTGCTTGGTCATGGCATTGATCAGAGTCCTGGAATCTTTTTCTGTAGGTTTTCTTTACTATAATGTTCTTTTCATATATCTTCCCAAGGGTCCCTACAGCTCTATGAATTTAGAAGGGAGCCAGGACTTGGGGGATGAAGGAGAGAAAGGGGAAACTGGGGTGGGGGGAAGTATACAGCTATAGCATCTATGTATGAACGAGGCTCGGGCCACCTTGCTTTCTTATCCTTCCTCCCAGACTCTAGCAGAATCAGGGGCTGGGACCCAAAGATTTTGTCCTTCCTGATGCCTTTAGGAATCAGGAACTAAGCACGCCTTCCTGCCCCTGAGTATTCACGATAGGGTGGACCGACCCACCCCCGGCTCTTGGCATTGTACTCATGCCATAGGCTGCTAGTGCTGCCTGCTTTCCAGTTGTCAGGGGCATGAGCTTAGGCTGGTCACATCTGGCAGGGGCTCAGGTGCAGGTAAGTTCTGAAAGCAACGTCCAGCACTCTCTGGGTCAGATGGATGCTCTCAGGCAGCTGGAACCCAGGCAGGTTGTGGCCAAGTATGGCAACTCAGGGATCACTGGACTGGAAGAAGGGACTGGACACCATACCATATAAGGATGGCCTGAAGGAACTGAGGATGTTTAGCTTAGAGAGGAGAAGGCTTAGAAGGAGGAAATGACATAACTCCCTTCCAGTAGGCAGGGGATTGCCTCATGTGGAATAAGGATTAGATTCTCAGTTGGTCCCAAGGAGCAAAATGACGAGCGAACGGTCCAAGTTGTGGTGAGGCACTTTTGACAAATCAGGCAGTCGACAAACCTCGATTCAGCACCTACTGTGTGCTAGGAGTTCCTTCCTAGTAAAGTGGGCTGTCTCCAGAGGCAGCAGACGTGATGTGATCACTTGGGAGTGTTTTTCAGGACATCCATGGTCAAACAGGGGTTGGCTTAAGTGACCTTTGAGGTCCCTTCAAGTTCTGGGATCCTGAGGCCTCCTGCTTCTTGCGCCCCCATTGAAGCTCTTAGAATGAGAAGGGGTGTCAGTAGCACCTTACAGACATAGCAGCATGTGCAATGAATGCCAGGACAGCTTGTGCTCACTGGGGGAGCTTATCTCTTTCCTTAACCCCCTAACTGGGCTGCTTCAATGCCCCACGGAGGAAAGAGGGGCCTTCTCTGGCAGCGGGCAAGCAGGGCTGCCCCCTCAGTGGTTGGAAAGTCTCAAATTGGGGCAGAGCTAAGCTCCTCAGAGGCACCCTTGGGTGTGTCAGTATCTAAGGAGTCACACCTGGGAGACAACAGCTCTAGGCCGGCTGACACAGCGGGCCCCAAGCCCTGACGCTGGAGGATTTAACGAGGGTACAGCCACCTCCTCACCCAGCCAGATGCCCCAGCCCTGGGGTGGGGGGAGAGACAGATTGGCATCAGTGTTTGGGACAAGTCAGCTTGGGTGCTGCCTACAGGTGGTTTTGGTTGTCCCTCAGTGAAAGGAAAAAAGGTCCACGTGAGCACTGCCCCCCTTCCACCCACCTTCCCACAGGCAATGCATTCTAGTTTGTGGAAAGAGCCCTGAACCTACAGATAGGGGTCTCCCATTTACATCTCAGCTCTCCCACTTACTGTGGGACCTTGGGTGAATTATTTCAGCCTTTTAGTCTCCCTTTCCTCATCTGTAAAAATGGAGATATCATCATGCTGTTTACCTCACAAGCTGGTTTTAGGAGAGCTACTTTAAGAGCCTAAGAAATGCTGTTGAAATCATTATTTGTTACACGGATGCGAATTGGTTGGGGGCTGGGGTGGGAACTGTTATCTTTACCCCCTCGGCTGCAGAAGGAAGAGACAAGGCCTTTCTGGACCATTATGGCATCTGGATCAAAAGGCTTCCTGGTCCTCACTGGTCGTTCAGATGTTGTAGCTGACCCCAGCTGCAATGAGAGCTCATATGTGGGCTGGTCATCTCCCTTTCAGATGAAGAAACTCCTTTCCTCTGTTACAAAGTGCTTTACATCCCTTAGCTTGCTTGATCCTCCCAACCCTACCCTCTGGAAGGGAAAGCCTGTGAGTACCCCTATTCTAACAGATGAAGAAACTGAGGCTCAGATAGGTGACTTACCTAAGGTCAATAACAGATCTAAGACTAGAACCCAAGTCAACTGATTTCCATTCTTGTCCATATCTCATTTTCCAAAGTTTGGGGCATCTACCCAATGGCTAGGGTCAGGGCTGGGGCCCAGCTCCCAATACCTGGATATCCCTGAGCCCTGCCCACCCATCTACCTTCCTCACCCCCTGAAGCCATAGGTCTCATGTTTTTCATCTCTAGGTGTAGTCTGATTTTCCTACCCAGACATCATTAGGGATGATACCAGAGAATTCCTGGGACCTGACGACCTCTGTGGTCTTGGTCTTGTAGATTTCTGGATTGATGCTATCAACATGGTGGTGGCTGGGATGGGGGTGACGGGACCTCCAATGGGGCAAGGAGGAGAAGGTTTCCTTTCTCACCAAGAGGGGTCTTGTCCATAGGGGAGCCATTCAGCTCTGAATTTTCATCCAACCCTAGCTTTTGAGGGAAACAATGTCGTTTAAGGGGAAGAAGTGCAGACACCAGAATCAGAGCACCAGGGTTTGTATCCTGGCTCTACCACTTACTAGCTGTGTGACTTAACGTCTCTGGGCCCCAGTCCCCATCTGTGAAATGGCAAGGTTGGACTAGTGACCTTCTAAGTAAGTTTCCTTCCAATTCTATATCCATGGTCCCATGCTTCCCCTTTCAGGTGTCCTGAATCTTCCCCTCCTTCACTACCATATGTCCCACCCTTCTTCTTCCAAACCCGTCTCTGACCTCCATCCCCTCCCCTTTCCAGTAAGTGTTCCTTGATTGACCCCACCCAGCTTGTATTGCTTGATTACTTCATGTCTCCTAGGCATTTATATACTTTATCTGCACCAGCTCACAATTAGGGAGGGAAGCCATACCGGAGCAGCTGACTTAGCACCAAGCAGGAGAAGTTGCAAAAGAATTTGGGGGTCTAGGAGAATTACACCATTTGAGCATTGTCGCCCCTGAAGGACCATTCCTAGCCAGCCCAGCTCTTTCGGGCTGCCCCAAACCCTTTCCCAAACACTCTTCAACCTTATTCTTCCATTTTTGCCTGGGCTCTGCCCAAAAAAGCAGCTGTTAGAAAGCTTTGGCCCTATGCAAAGAAGGGAGCTTCAATGGTCCCAGATTCTATCTGAGCAGACTTTGACTGATAACCACAGTCAGTGGTATGTAGTGAAGAGAGCGTAAAGCTAGCCTTGGAACTCCTGGGTTCCCCCTTCTGCCTCTGACAAATATTTAGCTTCTCAGGTGCCCTTGACAACTTTCTAAGACTCTTAAGTTGCTGAGGAGGTACCAACCTGCACTGGTAAAGGGAATTCTATATACCAATGGAATCTTAGCTCTAATTTCTCTCCTAATAATAAAAATTGCTAATTGCTAGCATTGATATAACAGTATGAGGTTTGCAAAGCCCTTCACAAATATTCTCTCATTTGATCCTGAGAGGTAAGTACTGTTATTATCCCCATGTTACAAATGAGGAAACTGAGGCAGACAGAGGTGAAGTGTCTCACTCAGGTTCCTACAGCTAGCAAGTGTCTGAATTTGAACTCAGGTCTTCCTGAATCTATTACACTGGGCTGCTTCTTGCTAGACTGGGTATGCAGTTATTCATCATGTTTGTAAAATGTACTTTAGAAGTGTGTAGTATTTGCTTAACTCAGTGCCTGGTACATAGTGGGCGCTTTGTTGTTCAGTCATTTTTCAAGTCGTGTCTGACTCTTTATGACCCTGCTTGGGGTTTTCTTGGCAGAGGTACTGGAGAGGTTTGCCATTTCTTTCTCCAGCTCATTTTACAGATGAGGAAACTGAGGCAACCAAGGTGAAGTGACTTGCCTAGGGTCACACAGCTAGTAAGTAAGTATCTGAGGCTAGATTTGAACTTGGGAAGATGTCTTTCTGACTCCAGGCCAGGCACTCTTCATAGCACCACCTAGCTGCACATAGTAGGTGCTTAACAAAGGTATATTGATTGATTGATTGATGGATGGATGGATTCCAGAGTACCTTGACTCCCATAACAACTCCCATCAATACAGAGCTTTGCAAAGCCCTTTATATGGATTCTTGGCTGTCCTGTCGGGAGGAGGCCACCAGTGCAGAACACAGTGAGGGCCACTGGCTTTGTGCCATGTGAGGAAGGAGCTTGCAATGCCTAGCTTGCAGAAGAGGAGGCTCCTGGGGTGGCCTAGCAGCTCTCAAGTGTCTGGAGGGCTCTCATGGGGGAAGATGGCTAAGACTCATGTTTGGCCTCAGACAGCAGAACCTGGAGAAGGAGGTAGCAAACTGAGGCTTGGCCCATGGGAAAACTGTCCGACAGTTCTCTGACGGAGGAATGGGGCCATCTCAGGAGGCAGTGAGCTCCCCCTTCAGTCCACTTGTCAGTGATGCTGAAGGGATGCTTCTCTCTTGGGGATGGCACTGACTCAATGATGACATCTGGCTGCTTTCTGACTTAGAAATGCCTTGGATTCTTCACTGTGTTGAAAATACCATAAAAGAGGCTGGGTAGGATTTGATGCCAGCAGTCAAAAGAGCCCTAGACTTGGAACCAGGAACCCTGAGTCCTGCCACTTAGTGGCTATTACCCTGGGCACCTGCTTTCATCTGCAAAATGGGTATATTTGCATTCCTTACATTCCAAGGTTTTGTGAAGAAAGCCTTTTATATAGCTAAGAGCAACAAGTGCTGAAATAGGGCTTTAAGCCTAACAAAGGGCTTTGTACACATGATTTCATTTGATCCTCACCACAACCTTGTGGGAGAGGAGCTCTTGTCCCCATTTTTCAGAAAAGAAAACTGAGCCTTGGGCATTCAGTGTTTTGCCCAAGGTCTCCCCAGAGGTGATATGACTGTGAGTCAAGATTCCAATTTATCCTAACTGAACCCAGCAGTATCCAGTGCAGGCTGGGTATAAACAGCCTTTACAATCAGTAGAGTACCACGAGAGGTAGGTTATTACTCTTTCTGATGACAGAAGTGACTTGCCCGATGTCACCCAGTGAGTCAGTGACAAAGTTAGGACAAGGCCTCCTGTCTCTTGGCCCTTTCCCAAGCCAGGTCTGAGAGCACAGGTCTGCTACACCACACAATTCTTTGCACTTATTCTCCGGCTTTTCTTTGCCTCTGCCAAGCTGGTGCTTGATAAGTATGGGTGGTGATAACTGCCTTCTTCCCCCACCGCTCCATCATTCCCCCATCCATCAGGTCGGAGTCTTTCTCACCAGGAAAGGCCTTCCCTCCAGGGGATCCTTCACCTGGCTGTGCTCACCTGTTCTCACTCCCTTCTCTCCTCTTCAGGTGGTCCGGAGCCGCCTGGAGCAGCTGAGGGTCCCTGTCCACAGCGTCCGCCTCAATGGTTCCGCTGCCAGCCACGTCCTCCACCCAGACAACGGCCTGGGCTACAAGGATGTAGATCTCATCTTCCGAGTGGATCTGCAGGACGAGGCTGCCTTCCAACTGGTGCGAGACGCCGTGCTGGCCTGCCTCCTGGACCTCCTTCCAGCCGGTGTGAACCGGGCCAAGATCACGCCCCAGACCCTGACGGAGGCCTACGTGCAGAAGCTGGTCAAAGTGTGCACGGACACGGACCGCTGGAGCCTCATCTCCCTGTCCAACAACAGTGGAAAGAACGTCGAGCTTAAGTTTGTGGACCGCCTGCGGCGCCAGTTTGAGTTCAGCGTGGACTCCTTCCAGATCATCCTGGACTCTATGCTTCTGTATGGCCAGTGCTCATCCACCCCCATGTCTCAGGCCTTCCACCCCACGGTGACGGGCGAGAGCCTGTACGGGGACTTCGATGAGGCTCTGGAGCACCTGCGGCAGCGGCTGATTGCCACCCGCAATCCCGAGGAGATCCGAGGGGGGGGCCTGCTCAAGTACTGCCACCTCCTTGTGCGCGGCTTCCGGCCCTGCCCTGGCACCGACGCCCAGGCCCTCCAGCGCTACATGTGCTCGCGCTTCTTCATCGACTTCCCAGACTTGGGCGAGCAGAGGCGCAAGCTGGAGCGCTACCTACAGGCCCACTTTGGCGGGGGCGCTGGCCCCGCCTGCTATGCCTGCCTGGTGACCCTGCACCGGGTGGTGAATGAGAGCACTGTCTGCCTCATGGGCCACGAGCGGCGCCAGACGCTGGACCTCATCGCCATGTTGGCCTTGAGGGCGCTGGCAGAGCAGGGCCTGGTGGGTGGCACTGCTTTGGCCTGGCACTACCAACCTACTTCCTTCCCTGGCAGTGATGGGGCTGCCCCTGCCCTCAACTATTATGTGACCCCCCTCCAGCCGCTGCTGGCCTGTGGCCACTCCACCTACCCAACCTGGCTGCCTTGTAGCTGAGCTGAGAGGAGTGGAGGAGTGGGGTTCCCCATCCTCGCCTCTGGAACCTGAGACAGCGAGGGGAAACATGGCTCTATCCCCAACCGCATCAGGCTCTAGCAATGTTAGACGCTGCTTACCTATGTGCTGTTGGGTTGAGGGTGGGGACGGGGTGTGGGGTGTCTAAAGGGGTTGGTACTGATCAAGCCCAGCCTAGAGGGTGCAATGGGGGCCACAGCCTTGGGGGGGGCGGGGGTGGTTCACAGTGGGGGGTCAATCTAGTCCTCAGTTCTTTTAACAGTCTTGTCAAGACCTCATTCTTCCAGCTGTGGCTAAAAACCCCTGTAAGCCAGGCTCCCTGCCCTCCATAAGAACAGGCTCTGAAGGGGCCACCTCCCTCTGGGCACATGCTTTGACCGGGGCCGGGTCAAGGCTGTTCAGAGCCAAGCCTGAGGAACAAGGGGGAGGAGGGTGGCAGCAGACATGGGGCTGAGAGGTGTGTGTGTGTGTGTGTGTGTGTGTGTGTGTGTGTGTGTGTGTGTGGCCAAAACAAGTGTGACTATGGGAGGGGGGCTGAGATTTCCTGTACAGGAAGCTGGCCGTGTTTGAACAAAGGCACATGTGAAATTACAGTATCACCTCTCCTGGGGTCACTCTGATGCACGGCCTGGATGAGGGCCTATCACTGCCTCCGAGTACATGTCAGGTGGGCCAAGATTGGCACTGGAAAGAAAGGAACTTTCAGACATTTTGGGGGACACTGAAGCATGGCAAGCCAGATATCTGCACATGGCAGTGAAGAGATTTGCCATCTTGGCCTTCTAGAACTTGTTTAGGCATGGAAGCTGGGGACACCCAGAGGGCATGATGCCAACCCAGCTTCAAAGACCAAATGCCCCGTGGCACCTGCACAAGCAGCCTAGATTTCCTCCTCCCCGATTGCTCCCCTCCAAGGAAGACCCGATCTCGTGGGAACTGGATAGAGGTCTGGCCTTAGGAAGAGAAGGGTTATTAACAGGCTAGGAGAGCTCAGGGCAGCTAGGTGCCACAGTGCCAGATCTGGAGTCAGGAGGACCTGAGTTCAAATCTGGCTTCATACACTTGCTAGCTGTGTGACCCTGGGCAAGTTGCTTCACCCTGTTTGCCTCAATTCCTAGTCTATAAAATGAGCTGAAGGAGGAAATAGCAAATTACTCCAATATCTTTGCCAACCTCAAAAGGGGTCAGGGAAGGTTGGGCACACCTGAAAATGACTCAACAACTGGAGAGATCAACCCCCATCTCTGTGTAGCGCCCCTAGACTCCTGGCCCTGCCCCTTCATTGAGAGGGCACGGAGGCCTCCTGGCTTCCTGAATCTGAACCTTTTTTGATTCTTTTTATTCTCTGTGCCCAGAAATTGGGGGTGGGGCTTGAAGATAAAAAGCCTGGCTTGCCCCTACCCTACCCTAGCTACTCCCAGTCTCCCTGTGTATGCCAGCTGTCTTAACTCCCCAGCTGAGTTGGGTCTTGGACAGTGAAGATTTCCCTCTGCAGAGACAAGCCTTGCCCCTCCAATGAGTGGTTTGTTTTCCTAAAGGTATAGGGGGTGGTACTTTCCTAAGGGTGACTTGGGGGCCTTTAAGTGGTCTTTCTCTTCCCCCTCCCTCAAGATTTGAATTGTTTTCTCGGAAGTCTCCTAGGCCTGAAGTAGAGAGGCTATGAAGATGTCATTTGATTCCTTAGAAGCCCAAGCACTCACCACCCCTGAAAGAAGAAGGGGTTGGGACCAGGGAAGTGGCCAGTGATCGAACTTAAGGTCAATTACACTTGGTGGGGAGCTGGGAAGGTTCTGATTACTCTGGGTATACCCCTTCCTTCCCTCAGGAGCCCAACTCCCCCACCTTTGGGTGCTCGGTGTTTTTGAGGGGGGAGGTCTTTAAGGAGGAGGGGAACCTGGAGGCCAAGCCTGGGGAGAGTATGTAGGGTAACAGGTACAACCCCATCCCCTCATGGAACTGACTGAATTGAGGAGGGGACCCAGAGGGTCTCAGGTGTGGGAGGGAGACACAACAGGGCTACTGAACCCTGGAACCTCTCATTAAATAAAATAAAGTTTCTATTTTCTCTATTCTGAATCTATGTGTGCTCTGACTTGGGGTGGAGTGGGAGGGGGTAGAGCTTTCTGTATTTTTCCTGGCTGGGTGGCTGGGGAGAAACATTCTTCTGTAATTTTGGTCGTTGTGTAGGCTAAACCAGCTGTTTAAGGTAATTGGACTGTGGGACTGGACCAGAGCAGGCCATGGCAGGTGCAGGGTGGGAAGGGGATCTACCCAAGACAACCCCATCCCCAGAGTGAATAGGGCCAGAACGGCCCTGGGGACGTGCCTCAGAGGCCTTGGTCTTCTTAATGATGGAAGCTTTATTAGGCTTCATTGGGCCCAAGGCAGAAGAATCTTTGGGGTCATCTACCTTACCTCTGGTAAATCCCTCCCCCCCCACAATAACCCTAGCAAGAAGCCAGCTGGGCCTGGTGGGCCTCCAGGGAAGGGAAGACTGCCTTCCCAAGCAGCACTTCTCCTTTTAGAAGGCTCTAGCTGTTAGGTTTTCCCCTTATGTAAAGCCTAAATCTACCTCTGGAATTTCTAGGCCTAGAAAGGTGAAGAGATCAGTCCAAAGGTCACAAAGCCCAGGGAGTCGCAGAGCTGAGCCTGTGAACCCAAGTTCTCTGGTCATCTAATGCTGCTTCTACTACATTTGCTTCTGCACCCCCCTACCCCATTTGTAGGCCTGGATAGGAGTGGGAATCCGTAATGAGCCAGCCACCCAGTTCTCTTTCCCAGGAATGGTCATGGAGTTTGGGAAGGAAATATCCCCTAAATTGCTCTCCCTCTATTCCCTGGAACTGATTTTTGGCTGGGAGTGTCAGGGGTGGGAGGGTAATGTAAATATAAGAGACCTATGCCTCTTGGGAAATACAGCCTCCAAGAGAAAAAAAAAAACAGTTTGGATCACCAGCTCCCCCAGGCATTGGCACTGGTCCTGCCTACGTCAGTGCTTATATAAGAACATGGGTAAAGGATAGGGATTAGACAACTCCTGGCCCTGGGTCACTGCCCAGGATGGGAGGGGGCCTTCAATCTCAGTGATGGGGAGTCCCTCTGCCCCAGTCAGCAGTACTCAGACATCTCTAAACCTAGTATGGACCCCATCCAAAGGTGCAATGACTGGGGGTGGTGGCAACTCTGGCCACTGAGGGCCCAGGAAGGGAGAGGTTTTCAACCCCTGAGGCACCTGCCAAGTCACGGTGACAATACTGGCTTTTGTTTACCAAAGTCCCTTTTATCCGGAGATCTCAAAGCCCTTAACTTATTCACCTTCATTAGGGGCCTCTGAAGTGGTGAGTTTGATGTAAAAAAAGCAAGGCAGTGAGCAGGTGAGTCAGGACACAGGAGTCTTGGCACCCAGCCTGCCCTAGGTCTAATCCAAAAAAGACCTCACTGAATCTCCCATCCTTCCCTCCTGCTTGCTTTAGATGGTTTAGGACACTAGCTGGACCAAAGCTTATTAATGGGCTTCTCAATGTCAGTGATGGGACAAAGGAAAGCCTATAAGGCAGCTCAGGATCTCCTTTCCGTCTCCCTGTCTCAAGTCCTTCCCCCTAGGGAGCCTGGTAAATCTTTCTGAAATGCACTTCTGACTCCTTGGCTCAAGAATCTTCACTGGCTCCCAACTACCAACAGGACAAAAGCCTAAGACACCTAAGGCACCCCAGCCCGCCATCTCTAGCTTCTCCAATCTCATGTGCCAACACTGACAATACCTACACTTTCTCTGCTCGGACTTCTTCCTACACACAGAATGTTCCCCACTTCTGTCTAGGCAATCCACGTCCATCCTTCAAGGCCCAGCTCAAATGCTACCTCCTCCATGAAGCTTCCCTGATGTCGCCAGGGGACAATGCTCTCTCAGTCCTCAAAATTTCCCTAGAGCACTTTGTCCCTGTCCCTGGCCCATCACCCATCATCCTTGACCTTGTATTAACTGTGTACATGGCAGAGTTCCTAATAGAATATACATTCTTTGTAAGCAAGAACTGTCTTTTTATCCCACGGCCCAGTAAAGGAATTTGTACATAATAAGTGTCAAATTGTGCATGTGTGTATAGACATACACCCATGCATATACATATATATATATATATATTGCAGTACACATACGTGTCTCTGTATGCATATACACATGCATGCACACACATATATATCAATGAATGCCTCTGGTGGGGGAGTATATTTATTCCTCTATGAGTGGGGAGATGTGACTGTGCTGACCTGGGGAGGGTATCTAAGTGTGCAAGGATTAATGTGTGTGTGTTCACAAGGTTGTGTTTGCACATGTATGAATGAATGTATATGTGCAAGTGGGTGACGGGCAGTAGCCCCAAATTGTGATAAGGTCTATTAAGACTGCGCTGAGCTACAGACAACAGAGGAGACATTATTTATATCTGTGACTCGGTCTCCACAGCAGCTTATAACTGCCCCTGCCAATTGGTGCCAATTGGCCGAATGTCAGAGCTAGAAGGGACCTTTAAAAAATAAAAGGTCAGAACTGAGGGAGGCTTTGGAGTTTAGACCATAGAATGTCAGAGCTAGGAGGAAGGGAGAAATCAAGCATTTATTAAGCACAGGCACTATGCTAAACACTTTACAAATAGTATCTCATTTGATCCTCACAATAACCCTGAGAGGTAGGTGCTATCATTACTATCTGTATTTTACAGTTGAGGAAACTGAGGCAAACAGAGGTGAAGTGACTTAGGGTCACACATCTAGTAAATGTCTGAGGCTAGATTTGAACTCAGTATTCCTCACTCCAGGCCCAGTGCTCTATCCATGGCACCACCTCGCTGCCAGCTAAATCACAGTGTTATAAAAATGGGAGTTTTGGCACCAAAGGGGAAAGGCAGATATTCCTGTCTCTAGAAGCAGCTATGTAGCTCAGTAGTCAGGAAGACCTGAGTTCAAATCCAGCCTCAGACACTTACTAGCTGTGGGACCCTGGGCAAGTCACTTCACCTCTGTCTGCCTCAGTTTCCTTAATTATAAAATAGAGATAATGGCACCTCCCTCTGAGGGTTCTTGGGAGAGCCAAATGAAATACAATTTGTAAGGTGCTAAGCACATGGTAGGTGCTTAATAAATGCTTATGCCCACCTTCCCTGTGACATTCCATACAGTAATTCTCTCCCCTGACTACTGTTCCTCTATGCTGTTTTCTTTCCCTATTAGAATGTAAGCTTCTTGAGGGCAGGGACTTCCTTCTTTTCTATTTGGAACCCTAGAGCTTAGCCTGATGCAATGTTCAGTAGGTGCTTTTCATTCATTCATATATTTGTTACTCTATATATGACCTTATACATATATATTAGTATCTAACATACTAACATATGGAACATTCGTTCATTCAATAGCAGACATTTACTACTGGATGCCAAGCACGGTGATAGACACAGAGACATGAAAACTTTAGGAACTGTGACCACAGGGTGAGGGGGCATGGGAGCATCCCCATCTGTAGGGCATAGTATGCCTAATGCACAAAACTAACTCCCCTCCAGCCCTGTCTGTCTCTGCTCCTAGCTCCGACAGTTCCTCCAGCATCCCTTATTGGCCAGTATATTTAGAAATTAGCCCTCATGGGAAAAACAGCTCTGACTCTGAGGCCAGGCTCGGGCCAGGAGCCCAAGTCAATCAGTCAGCCAGCATTGGCGTCAGCAGCTTGGCTGACGAGCCCTGATCGCAGGCCGTGGAGGCCCGCCTGCCATGGTGTTTAGTTCCCAGAGTGCTAGGGGAGGTTGGGGGTAGATGAATGGGGAAGAACTGTGCCTAGTACTCCCCCAGGAGAAGCCCTTGGAAACATGGGCCTAATAGGCATTGAGGCGGCACCCTCATCCTCTGCCACTTCCAGGTTCTCCAGGCCCCTTTTGTATTTGTATCCCCAGTACTTGACACATAATAAACGCTTTTCATTCATTCATATGTTTGGTCCTGGATCTATGTGTTAAACACCTACTGGGTCTTTAGGACCTACTAGCCTGCTCACCACTACCCCTGCTTCTCATCTTCCTATGAGAGTGCCATCATGGGCCAGCAGTGGGGAGGAGAGGGGAGAGGTGGAGATGACAACAATCGATCCCCCGTTCTCTGTTGAGATGTTGGCTTCTGCCTCTCTGTATATCTCAGAGTCTATCTCTGTGGCCAGACTCCATCTAAAAGAGCATAGATAGTTCCCCATATTTTAGGGGATACTGAGGATTCAAAAAGTAGCCCAATGTTATGTTATAGGAACACAGAGACCAAAAAAGGACTCGCTCCTTGCTCTCAGGAACCTTACATTTGATTGGTGAAAACCAACTTTCCCTCAGTCCAGAAGAGGTCAACCAGGAGGGTGAGAAGCCTGGAGGCAAAGTCATCAGCAGGACCTGGGAATGTTTCAACAGGAGAAGAGAAGACTTAGGAAGCCCCGTGAAAGTGATCTTTAAATATTTGAAGGGCTGTTTTGCTTGACCCCAGAGGACAGAACGAGTGGCGATGGGGGGGAAGGGGGATAAAGGAGAGGGAGTGGGGAATATAACACTTTGTCCAAACTCTCAAGAAGCTATAGCATGCAAAGCAGACAAACTCTGGTAAACTGTCTCAGCAGACGGGCTAAACCAGGTTGAGGGTAACCAACAGGCCCCATCAGGGAGTTTGGGAGATGCCGACCCCAAGCATGGGAAGACTTCCCTTGGCAGAATGGGCAGATGAGAACAATTTGTTGCAATGGCCATGAAGGCGGCCGAAGCAGGCACTGTGGAGTGCCCGGAGCTTGGTCAGACACAGAAGACGCCAAGGTCATCCACTGCATCCCTGGCCATCGCCAGCCATCCTGACTTTACCCTATCACTAGACTTCGATGACTCTGGAAGAAAGAGTGAGGCTGATGACTTTGTACAACTCTGCCTCACTTCAGTCCAATTCATGTACAAGTCAAGACATCATCCTGTGATGTCATTGGTCCTCTTTGAAAACAGGACAAACAACAACATTTACACTCACGGTAATTTTACTCATTATTTATGTGTTGTCTCCACACCTCAGATGCAGAGTGGGGCCTGTGTCGCCTCCCTCTTTGTATCCCCAAGGCCAAGATGGTGCATCTGCCAGGAATGGTAAACATTTAACAGTTACTTATTGAATGAACTGAAAAATGAATGAAGTTATAGGGAAGCAAATGTCTATGCAATATACGAAAGTAGGGATAGTATTAAATTATTTCTGAGGCCCTTTTGAGCTCTGAGATAGATTCTGAGAGCTAGTACATGAATTGAGGTCTCCAGTCTTCAGAATATATAATGCCGATGACGAGGATAACGATGATGATGATGATGGCGATGATGACAATGACGACGATGATAACGACAATGATGATGGCAATGGAGATGATGATGATGATGATGATGATGGCAATGATGATGGTATGCAGAGAGGCATCAGTGCTCCTCACTCCAAGAGAATGGACGAGAGACAGACAATCACTAGTCAATTTGCTTAGCTCTTGGATGCCTTAGGCCGACGGGAGAAAGGAGGGAGCTCTGCCTCTACCTCTCCCTACCCCCATCCAAGCTCATTCCCATCTCATTCCCAGGTCTCCCTTATCTGCAAGGTGCTTAGCCTAGTATCCTACACACAGTAGGTTTTATATAAATGCTTATTCCCCCTCCTTCCCTAAACCTTTAGCCTTCACCACTACTTTAGCCCAGTCAGGATCTTCCAGGAGTCCCCAACCAAGGAACCCATCTCACTTCCTCCCTGAATAAGGTGGAGGAACTAGAGAGAAGGACAGGAACCCATTAAGGGGTGGTTCAAAACTAAACTCCGTGGCAGTCCTCCACATGGCAAGCCCAGCCTCATCGCCCTCAGCAGTGCACTCCATCCCCTTCCTCTTCTCCAAGGGGCTTGAGCTCTTCAAATGCCCACTGTGGCCTGTGTTCTTCTCAGCTGGATGACCCTTGGCAAGTCATCCAAACCTCTCCGAGCTTCAGTTAACTATGAAGTGGAGAAAATGATACTTATACTGCCTATCTCACAGGCTTATTGTGGAAAAAAAAAAAAGCTTGTCAATCTGAGGGTAAGATATAAAGTGGTTTGTTATTGTTGATGTTGTTAGTGTCACAATGGTGACACTGTTGTCATTTATAGCTGGCCCCAGGTATTTAACCTGGAAGTTTTTCTTCTCTATTTCCCATCCTCCCTCTATGGGACCATCAGTCCCCCAGTGTATTCTGGGCACATTGTGGGAAAAGGCCTTGGATATTTTGAGGAGATGGATTAAAATGGGATTAAGAGTTGGATCATCTAGTCCAATAACCTAATTTTACAGATAGAGAAACTGAGGCCCAGAGAGGGGAAGGGACTTGCTCAAGGTCACACAGGTAACCTGTAGTAAATAGAGCCAGGCTATAAACACAGGTCTCCTGGCTCCAAATCCATGGCTCTTTCCAACACCCCAAACTGCCCCTTCAGGCAGAAAGAAGAGATAGCCCCTGCCTTCCAAAAGACTCTAGTCTCAGAAGGGAGAGAGACAGCCCCTGCCTTCAGAGACTCCACTTCACCTGGATGAAGGATATAGAGCTTCTGTCTTCAGGGGGTGGGGCAAGGAAACCTCCAGGGCTTGTTCCCTTAGGAATGGGGGGCAGAAACAGATGCTATCAGTAGCCGAGGTAGGAGAGCAGGTGACAGGTAGGAACAGCAACCCCAGGGTCCTGAGGGCCCCGGGCAGAAAGCGAAGCTGGATCCCCAGCCCCTCCTGGGCCCACAGGAAGGCCTCTGAAGAGTTTTCTTATCAGCAGAGTAGCTGATTTTATCTTCACATACTTAGGACAGACAGTAGGAATATTTGTGGTTACACCCATGGGAGACCTTCCCAGTTTGGTAGACAAGAAAAATGAAAGATTGAAGATAGATAATGGTGGCCTCCTCTTTCTGGGGCAAAGGGGAAGGGGGGAAGAGTGTCCTTCTGACCTAGCCTACTTGGGTTCAGTACACTTGGATGGAGGCTGAGGGTTAGATGGATGACTAACTCTTAGAAAACACCATTAATGTTAGAACCAGGATGAACCTTAGAACACAGTGTCAGAGCTGGGAGAGACTTAGAATACAGGATGTCAGAGCTAAGAGGGCCCTTAGGACATACAATGTGAGCTGGGAGGGGACTCAGAACACAGAAAGTTAGAGCTGGGAGGGACCTTAGAACCCAGGATGTCAGAGCTGGGAGGGACCTAGAACACAGAATGTCAGAGCTGGGAGGGGCCTTAGAATGCAGGATGTTAAGAACTAGAAGAACAGAACGCCAGGTAAAGCTGCCAGAACCCTACAGCCTCCAACTGCCAACATTAGAGGCCCCAGCACACAAAGCCATCGACCAAGCCCTAGGCTCCCAACACCAGAAGCTTGGGTCAGTGCCCTCTGCTCCCCAGCAGGAGAGCCCAGTCTCTTTAAAAGCCAGGAAATAAGCAAACACCATGAGTAAAAAAAAACGTACGATAGATTCTTATTATGGGAAGAGTGCAGATCAAGGCAGAAATTCTGAAGAGGACAACATTGTCAACAAACCCACATCTGGAACCTCAAAGGGGAATATGAACTGGTCTGAAGTCCAAAAAACCTTCTTAGAAGAGCTCTAGAAGGATTTTAAAAGTCAACTTAGAGAGGTAGAAATAAAAAATGGGAAAAGAAATGAGAGGTATGCAAGAG